CATTCCCATCATTCAACACGCTCCCAAGTTCGTCAAATTTCATCTCGAATTAATGCATACCGCAATTCACCCATACCGTATCTTGCTCGTTTACTCACAAACAAAGAGCGAGCAATGAGTAAACTTTGTCTTAACCTTAGATTATGAATGTCTCCATGCCTGCGAAAACTTTTCTCCCCGTTGGTTATGTACATTGTGACGGTTAGCGTGTATGGCTTTTTCACTGAAATGTGAGTTCCAGTGCTTGCAAAAGTTATACACAATACAATACAATACGAATCCTACTGAAAAAGGTTTTGTTGAGCAAATGTCGTGCTTGCTAGACGGATTAGTGTTCCGGCAGAATTTCTCACGCGGCCTAGATTGAAACAACCACGAAAAGAGTCTTGCTTTCAGAAAGCATGAGAATTTATGCTTTCTGATTGCATTGTTATGCAATACAGACCGGTGGACGAATATTTGAGACAATGTTGGAAACAACATTGCTTTATCCAAACTCCAAGCGCATGCAGAAGGGTTGAAGATCATATACTTCACTTTTGGGATGTCATCTATGCTATCTTCAAGCCGAATGTTTATATATTGCAGAGGTCACGTGTATTTCAGTGATTCGTTGCATAATAATTTCGGATAAAATTAACGCAAGGTCTTAATTGGTTACGACTTTCATATACAGATACCTGATTACCAGTTCAGTTGCTTCATATGTGAGTCACATCAAGTCTTAGCTACAGGTTGGAACAGTTTTCGTTTAATCGGGAAATTGATTGTAGCTGTACTTTGAAAGTTAGTTAGATCACCGTCAACATAGCACTGAATCCAAGCAGATTCTGTTAAAAGAGGTGTAAAGCAAAAAAAAACAATTTTTCTCACAATTAGAGGCACATATCTGAGAAAGAAATTATAACTCATATATTGCAGCTCCCGTTAAAAGAGACGATAAAGTATATTAGAAAAAACAGTGCCAAATACATCAACAAGTAAAAAGATATGTACTAAATTAAAAGCCTAGTTTCATAAGTATATACTGGGAAATTAACTATATATTAAATAAATAAAACGTTTTCTGCTTGAATTTTAGTAAAATAAGATGTGGGTAGTCTGACCGGTTTAAATTTTTGTAATCCTTTCTACTCAAAATTGGGTAGCAATAAGATTTTTGTATTCGCAAAACGGACACAAAGCCATAAAGGGAGTTAACATTAAACTGAATAACTTATCTGGTATCCACAAGCCCGATACCTTGACGTCGGTAAGAAAACTACATGATATATATTTGAGATCTATTTTAAGTACATTATTTGATAAAGCAGTCAATAACAGAATAGTCAGCGCCTTCAAGAATGCAGTGGGTGTTTTTTTTAATATCCTTCATAGGCCGGGCGCAAATTACACTCTCAGCAAGGCTAATTGTTGTCCAAAAGTAAAGATTTATTTTCATAGACAATTCAAATAAGTGAAATATCATTATTATATACCAAGCATAAATGAAATTCAATGCACTAAATTGTTTATTTTAGTGAGGCTAATTATTTTAGCGATAACCGGATTCATTTACTATCTTGCCTCGTGTTACATTCTTCACGTTGCTGTAAAACGATCTAGGTGTTCAATCAGAAACCATATTTAATAAAACACGTGATTTTTTCGCCAAAGGCGTAAGATGCTAAATCTAATTCGTTGATGAGTATGGAAGAAAATAATTCTTAGGATAATGAAGCGGATAGCTCAGTCATTCATTTTGTTTCAGAATATTCCGAAATCATCATTTACGGTTATTAGTGCAAAATATTTGCTGACCAAACTTCGAACCATCTGGTCTGAGTTCCATGTATTCTGAAGACAGTACAAAAGACTATTGGGTTTTCCTTGTTACTAAAATCAGTTATTGCAACAACTGATAACAAGTGCTTGTAAATGAGAACTACAACTGCTGATTTACATCAATTTACGTGGAATTATTACCTTCCAACCTTTTAAGTGAACTTAGGGGAAAATAATCCGGGACTTTACACATTTGTAACGTGCATATTGACCTTTATCGGTTGCAGCCAAACAACAAAACCTTTGGCTCAATGACAAATAAGGCTTTTGATAGGCCAGAAACTTCTCAAAGTTCCCATTTCATCTAATTACATCCTATCCTGATAATGCTGTGATTAAAAATGGATATAGACTCTTTGTGATTATCTTTACAACCAAAGGTTTTCCTATATAACAGTTCGCAGTTCTAATATGTCTTTATCAGAAATGCTTCACGTCTAACAACTTTTATACCTCTAAATGTTCCCGCTGGATTAGGAAGGTACCAAGCCGTCCAAGAGCCACACTAATCGTTACCAAAATCTAACGGAGGTGACGAGGTTTGTTATCGTAATCTACCCGTATTGTTCGACCTCCGTTTCACAATGTGCGTTTTACCCCAATAACCCTATCTGTCTGTTGCTGTTGTTGCGTTGGTACCACGACTTTTGGCAAATCAGTGATAAACACTTACACGTGTACAATAAACTCTCTTATCAACGTCACCCAATTCAATATTGGCATCAGCTATTGCTCAAAGTTTTGCATTTACGATTACTATCGACTGTCTACTAACGACAACGGCATTTATTTTAAGTGCAAGATAACTAAACGCAGTATTTTAATAATACCGTGTAATTCAAATACGTTTTCTAATATTGAATAAACTTATAAATGGACGAAGATGTCCGCAAGATGATGGACAGGGCTAGTTATTGCTAATTCATCTTGGGTCTCAAAACGCATTGGTAAAGAAGCAGTGAAGGTTAGTGAATAAACACCCAAGTCCTAGAAGACATTTCAGAGTGTAATAGAGTATAAAATGTATGTGCGACTAGCCACGACAACCAAATCAGATTAAAGCCCCAGCATAAGTTTGTTAGATTAAAGAACTTCACCAGCTCTGGGTAATTTAATCGTGAAGGGCTTAAACAATTCGACGCTTTGGCACATAAGCTTAGAATACGCAGATTTATAGCAAATTGGTAAGTGTCGGTCAACAACGCCGAATATGTTGCGTCTTGTACAGTGGCCAAATTCACTTTTTAATGACAGGAGATAAATCCTGTGTACAGTGATAAGGAATTCTCAAAAGATGTGAGTTCGTGGAAATAGTGGCTCCATAATTAAACTGAGAACGGACTAGTAGAAGGAAAGCGTTGTCTATTTCGTCTATTACAAAAGCTATCATAAATACCCGAAAAGCTATTGGATGCATTATTTGATGCTTATATCAGATGCACATATATGTATTTGTGCTTCTATTTGCTTTATATCCTTAATTCGTCCATGTAGGCTTTGAGGTTGATTTTTCATCTATTTGCTTAGCTACAGGGAAAATGCTAACATATTTTTCATCACTACATTAAGGATCAAGGGCAAGTTATATGATAAGTATCAACGAAACATGTTTACACCTTTGTTTCGTCAGAAAATTTATTAATTAAATTTTTTTCAGTGAAATTCTCTCATTTTGCAGCACGTTATTAATCTATATGTTAATGGTATAGGAGACACTGTAAACATTGAAGGAATCTGTGTAATGTAGTCTACAGAGTTCAGTTACTGACCGAGGGTTATGTACTTTGGGTATCTTTGATTAGATAAACAGCGAAAAAAGGAACAGGTTTCGTGAGCGGTCGTCCAACACTCGGTGCCATAAAGTGAAGCGCTCGTTTTCGTTCTTCTTCTTCTGGGACCATTTTAGATTTATAACGGTATAAAACAATTTATGCACATGCACATATGCATGTGTGAGGGATTTATGTGGATGTGTGTATGATTGCATGTCTTTATGTATGTGTCTGGTGCACGAATACATAGGAGTATGGTATAATAATCGTTATGCACTTATGGAATTATACATGCATGAGTATGAAGAAGTGACTGAGTTAATCTATCCAAGTGTTACATCCCAATCTCTGTAATATGGTACGACACCAGTGAATTCTTACGAAGATGAGACAAAAGAGGAGGCCTAAAATGATAAAATGCCAGTCCTGAATGTCTACCGTGATGCAAAAGCTCTTAAAAAGTGTGAAATAAAGGGACAACAACGGTAATCAGTGGTATTCATGAATCTATAGGGAACTTAAAACCTGCAAGTCACTATCATTCTTCATGAGAACTATCCAGTAGGCCCCAGTACGTGCGTCACTTATTTTCCACTAATTACCCTGAGGCGTTTTCTCTATTTCCTCCTTTGGCAACTAGATTTCGTCTAGACCGTTTTCTGTTTCTTGTTCATATCAGCCTCTTACGGACATACGCTTGATTGACCCCCTACAGGATCATACAGCAGAGAAACTCCCTACATGGAAGTAGGAATTCAAAAGCTGCCTAAGTGTGTCGTGGATATTCGTGCAAGAAACTGGACTTTCCTTGGCACTCGCTGCTAGTCCTGTGACCTCACCCAACCTGAATAAGAGGAAAGCTAAACGTACTTAAATTGGTATTCATGAAAAATGCGAAAAAAGTCGATCTCACTCCATTTAGCTCCTTGTGTACGTAGCGTAAGTTTGATATTTATTTGTCAACTTAGGCATTATCTTTAAGATTTTCGTTGCAATATGCACAGATAAGTATGCGTTTATTTCACCTTGTTAGTTTAATGGGAGATTTCTGGTTGGAAATCCACATCTTTTAAAATAAAATATTACTAAATTTGCATTAGTGATCTCTGAACTATTGATTAAGCCCTAGCAACCTAAAATACTGAACTGTTTGAACTGCTTGAAAGTTAGACATTCAGCTGGTAGCTGCCAATCCATGCATGCATCATGGGATTGGTTGCAGTTAGATACATAACATGTAGCTGTATCAACCGAGCTGTTGTATCTTAGTCGTAAGTAAGCATTGCGAGGTTGGAGAAATATAAGCTTGGCATACAACAATATAAGGCGATCCTTTCGGGAGCCGTTCCGAGTCCTACACGCGTCCCAGGAGAGTCACATCTGACTCCTATTGGAGTCTAATATGCGTTCCATTGGGGGAAGTCCCACTGAAGTCCCAAGTTGAGTGCCACTTGACTCTACTGCGACTCTCATAGGACACGTATATGACCTAAATATTTGCGTCCGTCCCGTGGGACGGATGTGCGGACTTGATAGCGATAACTTGAAGTTGAAAGATATCCTACAACTATATATAAACATGAGTGTGCGAAATGTTTCTAGTAATATCTTGTAATATATATTATATTATTATATATATTAACATATGTATATTACAAACTTAATTCATGATGTTACACAAAACCCAAAAAAATCTTTGAAGTTTTACGTAATCTAAGCTCTGAGTCCATATGCTCTGCTTAACCATACCTAAAATTTACAAAGCCATATGGCCTTGCCACCTAATATCAGGTCTTCTAAAGGCACTTACATTATAACAAGCGTGCTCTTTTTATCAAGCCGGCTTTGGTGAATGAATTGGGCTCCTTCGAGAAGACTTTGAGTCGTCAGTGGAATGTTGTCTTTATTCAGCGGGAGCTGCTTCCAAACAAGACTTTGCTAGAGAAACAATTTTCATAAAATTATTTTCCATAAATCTTACGCTCTTCGGTAGGCTTCCTGAAGTAAGAATCCGATCAATTTTCGCTTTTTTCATTTTATCCTCCTTATCCTGAGGCCCGACATCGAGATACGACAGAAGTTTCGCACCGCCTGCACCCATCCCTACTAACCGGATTCGTGTGATGCGACCTTCAAGTTTCAATACCCACGAAGTTTGTGGATAATGTATTACGACGCGACCAGAAATTTAAACAAATACCGCAGTCTTGAAAACATTCACTAGTTCCAGTCCGTTGCCCAAATTGACGGGGTCCTTCACAGATATCAGTGTTCATTTTCGTTGGAATTTTTTCAGAAAAGAAAGTAATGAAAAGACATCAGTAGGGCTTCCCCGATCAAGATGCCCAAGGTCAGGTGTGCTCACCAAAGGGCACACAAGGACCGGAGTGTACACCATTGAGTAAGTCAACGCCAAAACCTAAAGGGAATCCGCTACGAGATTTGAGGGGAAGGGAAGCGACAACTGAACTTGATCCTGTGCGGTACGTTTGAAATTTGATCCTGCCTTGCTGCCGAATTTCTCGCTACTCTATAGCCCCCATTATCTCAGTTTTGCATTTCTGAAATTAAGAAAATATACTATTCTTACTAAATTTTTAGTCATGATATCCGCTCACCAGCTCCCTTTGGCTCTAGACGAAGATACTTTCCCAATGCGTCAAGACGAGGCTACCTTGAGCACGGAACACTCTTCGACCGATCTGCTGGGACTTATTCACGAGCAAGCCTTCGAAATAAAAGAGCTCAAAGCTAGGCTGAGTATATTCGGCGACCAGCTAGCCAACTTACAAGCTCTTCTCCTAACTTCAGTCCCAACAACCAGTGCTGCGAATACGGCTCTTAAGCTTTCGCAGCAAGAAATACTCGACGCAGCTAAAAAGCTCAGGGCTAGCGAACAATGTGCCAAGCGGGTTATTTTCTGGAAGCGGTTCTCTATGTCTGACACTTTAGAAAGTATATGTAAGCATATATGCAGCCTTCTACAACCGCTTAAATTCAAACCCCTTAGCTGTACCTGGCTAACCGCCAAAGGTTCACCCAGACGTCTCGGCCTTCTTGTCGACATGGGGTCTTCCAAGCTTGCCACTGATGTTCTCATCGAAGCTCCCACCCTTAAACGCTCCTGGTTAGGTTTAAGAGGTGTCTCCATAGATAAACCACTGCATGTGAGACTTTCACAGCCCAAACTAAAAGGTCCAAAAGTTGATCCTAGAGACGCCGAACTGTTGAGAAGCGCCTTCGTCTCAGCAGTTCGGTTGGACTCAAAGGTTCTTAAGTCTCAACCCTCTTCCCCGGACCCCATACCCTTAGACGAGACCGTCGTCTGCCTTAAACCAATGGCGGCCAGCTCAACAAACAACAGTTTTATGGAACAGAATCAGATTTCAACCGAGGCATCTGGGAACCAGAAGCAAAAGAAGCTGAAAATTAAAAAACCGACGAAACCCACTCCGGCCCGCAAACTAGCCCCACCTGACACTAGAAGAGGGCTACTCGGGGAGCCTCCCAGCATTATTCAGGTGCGCCTGGACACACTACGAAAGTTGCCGGTGGCCAATATAGGACCAACGCTTCACTCAGCGAATGGTTGTTCCTGCGGCGTACCATCCCAGCTCGAGAACGGCAACAACAGAGAAATTTTTCGGACGAAGGGAGCGATAGGTCGCCCGCCAGAGAGGCTGATAAAGAAAATCTCACCGATGGTGAGATACCCTTCCAAGACAGCCCCCCGACCAACGTACGCTCAAACCGTACGTCGACAACCTCTAATATCGCCTCCGACTGCTCAACCGATCCCGCCTTTCTCCCTAACGGACTCAAGGACTTTGATGGACGCATTCTTAAATGCATTTCTAGCAACTGTCTTAGTCTCCCAAACAAAGTTCTCGAACTAAAGCAACTTACCTCGGAGCAACGCCCCCATGTCATCACCCTCACCGAGACCTGGCTTTACGATAATGTCCTAGAAGAGGAAATCTCCATTCCCGGCTTTACATGGTTAAGTTCGGACTCAGCTCGGGGCAGAGCAGGTGGTGTCATAGCTTACCTTAGTTGCTCCCTTCCTCCTCCCCTTCTTATTCCTGTCGGCCCTATAGGCCCAATAGATACCTTATGGGTTAAACTCAAACTCTCAGGATTAGCCACACTCCTACTTGGAGTCGTATATCGTCCTCCCCAGAATCCTCCCATCGAAAGCCAACTACTCATTGACCAATTAAGGTCAATAGGTAGCACTCATCATTGCACCCACCTTCTAATTACTGGTGATTTTAATGCCCCGGGTCTTGACTGGCTCAGAGCATACTCTTCTGATCTTTCTTTTGGGCGTTCCCTTATTGATCTAGTACTAGAAAACTCCTGGACTCAACACGTAGACCAACCTACGAGGTTCCACCTAGGTCAGGCTCCTTCATTGCTAGATCTTATTTTAACGAATGATGACAATCAGATCGAGGTGGTAAATCACCTTCCACCTCTCGGCAGGAGTGATCACGTAGTTCTGCTATTTGACTACATTATAGACTGGAAAACTAGAATGGAATTTCAACAAATGGTCAGATCGTTCAAGCGTACCAACTTCGACTACTTACGGGAGTTTCTTAGAGCATAGTTTCAAGACCTTCCCCTGGACCTGCCCGTAGAGAATCTTGCAGAACATATCGAACGAATCACTTCAGCTGACGAGCGATTCGTCCCCCGTGTTCTCGCACGCCTTAATTCTGATGCACCTCTCCCTCGGCCCATCCGCAGGCTTTTAGACGAGCGGTCTAGACTGTTTGCAAGATACAAGCAGACGGGACTCGAAGCTGATGGACTAGCCTTTAAAAGTCTCAGGAACATCAGCCGCTCATATATTAGAGAGTACAAACTGCGTACTAAAAGAGCTATACTTGAACGGGCTCAGAAGAACAGACCGTTCCTTTACAAGCATATCCGTCGACTGCGAGGTATAGCTAACCCCTCTCTTGCTCTCAAGTTACCAGACGGGGCAGAAGTAACTGCCCCTTCACTGATTGCGGATGAATTTAAAAAGCACTACCAGATCATCTTCAGTTCCGCTCTCATCACTACCCACCCGATACTACAACCCTTTCCACTAAACTCTACGCTTAGCTGCGTCACCTTTTCACTGTTAGACGTAGAGAAAAAATTACGAAACCTCAACCCTTACTCCTCTATGGGGCCTGACAAAGTCCACCTTAGAATTCTTAAGGAATCGGCGGATATCTCAGCTGGCTCATACACCCGACTCTTCCAACGGTGTATGGAAGAGGGAATATTCCCTTCTCGCTGGAAAGCCGCACTTCTTTCCCCCATCTACAAGAAAGGTAGCAGATTCCTTCCAGTACTCTACCGTCCTATCTCCCTGACTAGTGTCCCTAGGAAAATTCTAGAGCGCATGCTGAAAGAGGCCATCTTGAAGCAACTCTGCGCAAATAATTTACTCTCTACCTTGCAGCGTGGATTTCTGCCAGGCAGATCTTGCATCACCAGTATGCTGACTGTCATGAATAGTTTAATTAAGGCTTATGATGAAGGCCAAATCTCGTACGCCGTATACATAGATTTCGCCAACGCCTTCGACAAGGTCCCACACGTCCCACTCATGCACAAGCTGGGGGTGTGNNCTCTTCTATCACTTATTAGCAGCTTTCTCTCTCATTGCACTTTTAGGGTAAGGGTTAACGGTACAGTATCCGAACCAAGTATTATTACAATCGGAGTCCCCATGGATCTGTTCTTGGCCCTCTTTTCTTCCTTATCTATATTAATGATGAATCCAACGCATTGCCTACGAACGTAACTATGTACGCAGATGATGTCACGATCTGGAGCACTGATACGCACACGCTCCAGGCATCTATCGATGCTGTTAAACACTGGTCCGTTGAATGGAATCTGCCTATCAATGATGACGAGTGTGTAAGAATGACTCTTGGGAACTCCCCTCCTGCTTCGTTTCATATAAGTGGTACGCAACCTCTTCAGCATACCAACCTGCACAAGGTCCTTGGCATCTGGTTAAATAGTAATCTCTATTTTTCATATCATAACCAGTTAGCTAGCAAATCTGTCTTCCGTGTCCTTCACCTCTTTCGAAGGTCTTTCCCCCATATCACCAAGAAAGACTTTAAACTTATTTATGGCACATAAATCAGACCCCTCCTAGAATATGGCAGTCAAGTTGTTCATTCCGGCCTGATCCGTGATCGTGATGCTCTTGAACGAGTTCAAAGAGCGGAAACTAAAGCGGTGGTTGGAATGCAACCTCTTCCCTATCCCGAACGTCTAGTGGAGCTTAATCAGTATTCTCTGGAAATCAGGCGAATTAGGAGTGACTAATTTCTTCTACACCACCTGTTCTCCTCGGGCCTAGTAGATAAGTTCTTCACTTTAGTCCCCACGGGTGGAACACGGGGCAATAGCAAAAAGCTATACAAACCTCAACCCCGTACCACACTTCGCACATCCTTCTTTACATTCAGGACAATTTCGCAGTGGAACGCACTGCCAGAAGAGATAGTCTCTTCAACAAGGAAAGCGTCATTCAAGTCTAGACTTGATAATTATCTAGGTCTAGTTGCCTCCTCCTGAGTCCTCCTATAAAAAGATATATATATGTACTCAAAAACAAAAAAAGAAAAAAAAGAAACAAAAAAACATTTAATTGTTTTGCTTTTTATTATTTATTTTACCGTAGCCCTTCTTAGCTATTCTGTGCCTGCCCATTTACTATAGCTCATTGCTACGTTTACTATTTATTGATGCCAGAATAGCCCCCGGGCAAGATATATTGCCCCTCCAGTTTTCTCTGATTTTCCAGTTGCATCTTCCAAGAACAGAACACAAGAAACCATCAAGGATCCGGGACCATTGAGCGCCAGCCTCGAACCCGAGAGTCACTTCAAGACTTCAAGACTTCAAGTGTAGGAATGAAGAAAACCACTGTAGCGGTTCTACAACCGAGTTTCGAAACCACAGTTTTCTCCTCTTACCTCTTGTTTTTCTCTGAGTTTCTTGATAGATCCATTCAAGCTGGACATGATCGTCAAATCACGTACCAGAAGTAATTTCACCCTACGCTGATGACTAACAGTAGGATACGTTCAGTTTCTAACCAGTCCTGTATAAGTGAGGACTATCAAGGCAAGGTACATAACCATGGAATATTTATCAGAACCATGAAGGTTCAGAAATCAAGTAGCGACTAAGCTTATCGATCAGTTAGCTAAACTACCATCATATTTTCCCCCCTTCTTTTAAGGACCCTTATCCACCGGACACATTCAAGTGTATCGTCGAGATTTAGCATTCATCGTCATTAGTTGATGATAGCTATGTGTGGTGATCCAGACTTCCGTGACCGCAATCCATGCACAAATGGGTACAGTTTCATGTCATCCAATCACCGTTCAGGAAGCTCGACCAATGATACACTGGGGAAAGTGACACCCGAGTTAGTACATATAATGCGTCGGCGCAAACGGTTACGTAATTGGACGACGGCCCTTCAACCAATCATATGAGATATTTCCCTCTATAAAACGTGCTCTAATTCTATCAATAAACATAAGCATTTGCTGCTATCAATTCCTCGTGTATTTCATTGGTGTCCGCAGTTTGGGTTGGAGCCAATTCCGTTCTGAGCAGTACAGTACGGATTCTCGTATGCCTAAATTCAATACCATTCTGATTACTACACTACCCCCTGAAGAAAGTTTCTCTATTGGATAAAGCAACTTGGACATTTCAGGGATTACGTTTTACGTTAACTATTAGCGCTCTTTTAATGAACTCGAAATGCGTGCACCGACACAATTCCCCACGGTGAGCTCTGTATCGCACACTTTCGCTGCATTGCTCAGATCTGCTTTCAGGTTTCCGCTGCCGTTGCTTAAATATCAGCCTGGGCCTAGCTAAATATACTTTCAACCTTTCTGAAGATCTCAGAATAAATCGTTTTCAATAAACGCAATCTTTGGTTCTGTTTCCATTTGGCACGAATATTCAAAACGGAAGTGAGTAAACATTGGTGACAGGCTCTGACGAATATCAGCAACCATCTAGCCACTTAACCACCACCGCTTTCAGCCCCGCAGCAGCTAAGAAACTAAAAACTGTAGCACGGAAATCCGTCTCTTCAGAGCAAGATAATCGCAGGAACGGAGCGCAGGGAACCTTTTCACGCGAAAAGTTATCGGAGGACCGCAGCTGGGTAACATTAGTAGCGAACATACCGAAAAGCCGGCCAATATTGGGCACAATTTCCAGTCCCGGACGCGAGGACCTAGAGTTCCTCAAAGAAAGTCACGCCGTGGGCGTACCTTATCAGTAGACTGGGTAGATCTAAAGGCGGCATGTCTTGGATAGCGGAGCCTGCCTTCGGCTCTTACACAACAGCAAAACCGGGGTTATCCATCGGGTATTGCGCCCGAGGAATCCAAGAGTATAAAAGGGCCGCAGTCGAAACAGCTACTAGCGGATAGTATTGCAATCTGGTATACAAACGCTTGTATCGTCCGAGGTAAAAGGGGCGAGATTGCAGTACGCTACCAGGGATCCGAAATCATCGTTATTACGGAATCCTGGTTGCGGGAAATGCAAGTTATAGCCGACCCAGGGGGCTATACTAGTTACCGGCAGCATAGAGTAGACGGCAGACAAGGCGCGGTGTTCTTATACTATTTAAGTCATCACTCAGCCAGTGGGAAACACAGTTGGTCTTAGCTAAGCCAACATCCAAGCAGTAGGATCCTGTGTCCAATTGGGAAGAAGGCAGATAGATATACTAGGAGTCTACCGTGCCCCTTTTGCGACTCTTCGTGATGATGGAAAGCTTTTGCTGGTTATGCAAGAAACTCTGGATATTTATAAAAGGGTTTCTCGTGATCGG